CTATCTTCGTCCCGTTCACTTCTTCTCTCCCTCGAGCTTTCCGTTTCTCAACAACTTCTTCGCAAAAAAGCTCGCTCTCTTCCAATCTGACGCTTTCTTCGGGTAACGAAGACCCGATCGGATTCTCTCTGATGAGTCACCCGCGAGGAGATCTACCTACGGTGGAACGGTCGATGACTAAGATCCACGGGACTGGACCCACGATGAAGCCTCGGCGGACACTGAGTCTATCTCGAGACGGATTACGAGGTGGAAGTAAGACGAAGAGGAAAATGTGCAGAGCGGAGCCGAACTCTCAGTACACATGTATATGCACACGCATACACACATGCACATAGGCATCCACATATATACAGACAGGTACACGCACGTGGACACCACACACGCGTGGATCTCGCACGCGCGCGCACGCGGGCGCGCTTTCTTCACGGCGCGGGCGGCGGACAATGTGATTCTAGTCCGATGCGCAACATCGGCACCAACGGCAACGGCACCGACATCAGCATCATCATCAGCATCCGTACGGACACAGGCTCGGTTGCGCCGGTGCGCCGGTCCGTACGTACGTACGTATGTCTGTCCGTCCGTTCGCTCTAGCGTGGCTAGAGCGGTGCCGTGCGCGCCTCAAGCTCTACTCTCTAGCCTCGAGTTCGGCTAGCTGACTAGGAGCTTCTATTTTTATCATGGGGTAGCGAATTGTTCCCCACACGAGACGACTGCGGCTGTGGCTGCACGAGGCGGCAGCTCCGTCGACTCGAATCGTTCGCCAACGCGACCGGGTTCGGATCATTTATAAATAGTTGGAGTTCTCGCACCGCCACGGAAAATCATCGCAAGGATTCGCGGAACGCAGGTCACGGTGAAAGTAGCCCGAGATGCTGCTACGACTATCGCCGGCCGGTATTCGGTCTTCGGGTTACCACTGATACACCGTTCGACGCGCGAGGGAAGAATGACACTTTCATAAATCATCTGTTCCATTCGGAAGATGTGCTTCCTTTAGGCGAGCGAGAGAAGACACGATTTGTCGGAGTATCGGAATTTCGGAAGAATCTCTTTTCCATGAAACATAAACGTGTGAAAAATAAATCGTGCGAGCGAGTGTGTTTGTCAGGATTGATAGAATTAACGAGGTAACGGTGATTCCATCAACGCGAGCGTGGTGAAAAAACCGGGTCCATGTCCCTGTAGTGTAATTTAGGGACGGAACGCGTTGGTGGTGTGTTCGATCGGCCGGGGAAAAAGAGAAAAAAGGGGGGTACGACGGCGCACGCGACCGTGCGAATGTGTGTCTATAGACTCACTGAGGCCTCTTGTAGGACTACATTTTTAATGGAGCGCATGTAGCGGCGCGATATCGGTCAGTTACTCCCCCGCGAGAACGTGAGATAAGAACTAGGTAGACTTCATGGTCTCGAAAGGAGGGGGGAGGGGGAGCGGAGAGGAGAGTACACACGATGAAAAGCCAGGCGAGTCAGAGTCGATGATCCGTATAAATCTGACGTTACAGCGGGATTCGCTACGGTCTATTGACGGCAAACGAACGGCCGGGAGGAGGCGGGGGACGTGTCATTATTTATCGACGCGTGCCATTCTTTTTTATAACATAAATCAATTAATCGATGTGTCCGCTATTAATAATGACGGTAACGAAAAGTGACGGCCGAGCTGCGCTTGTTGGTTGCGCGATGAGAAAAGAAAGAATCCTCTCCTCTCTCCCTTTTTCTCCCTCTCTCTCTCTCTCTCTCTCTCTCTCTCTCTCTCTCTCTCTCTCTCAGCTTCTCTGAAAGCTTTTACCCTTCTAAAAGAGAGGATTATGACGAGTAATTTCGAGGAAAGGACACTGTTATGATCTGGATATCGTTATATCCTTTGCGCGAATCTTATATCGAAAAAGCAACGAAAACTGTGTCAGTGAAGTCTTGAATCTCGAGGCAAATGGCACAACCTGTTTATTGCGGTATCAGCACATGGCGACATGGTCGAATCGCCGATAGATAAAGAGAACACAAAAACACGAGCATTATAACAAAATATGTAACAACAAAATCGTCATCGTTACAACAAAATATGTAACATGCCGAAACAGTTACACATCTTTCTCTAAAGATCTGTTTTTTATTCCTGTAACTAGACTGCACTAGAACTTTCATGCTTTTGCCAAATATCAAACATATATTTATTTCACTTTAAGTTCCAAAAGTATATACTATAATAATAAATTACAAAAAATATCAGAAAAATCGAGAAAATCTAAATTATTTTCTATCACGACAACGCTAATATTATTTAATTGCGTTATAGAACAATGGAAAAGGATTTTTTCTTGATTTAATAAATCTTGACATAACTCTTTCTCTAATTTCACCTACACGTTGTTTAAAAAATCGTGCCTCTCCGGCGAATCTTTGTCTCGCAAATATACATAGTGATATAAGAGACGAAATTTCCGCATCGAAATAGAGCAGACCAGCTTGAAATGGGAACGTGTTCCAGATTTGATTAACTTCCCGTCGAGCAAGCGAGAAATCGGATCCCCAATTAAAAGTTTAACGTTTTCCTCCTTTCGCACGTATATATTCTTCCTCACCTAGACACAATTTCCCAAGAAATTTCATGAAGAGAAATATAGAAGGAACCAGTTGATGGAAAAAAAAAAATAATAAACTAGCAACGAGCTCTTTCTAAAAATTATATACTGATAACTACCTCTTAGGATGATGCCAATGACAACGATGACAACAATAACAGGCAACAATGATATATTCGAATTCACAAAAAATTCAAATCAAACCTCTCTCAACGAAGCACCAATGCCTTCCTTCGGAATACATTTCTTCAAATACCATCGAACACTTGCTCACCAATTTAGTAATAATCAACTCGTCCTCATAGATGATACCACATACATCCACGATATATGCAATAAATTCACTTTCATCACCAACACTCCCACGGAAAAGCGAATTGTAATGCGAAGATGGAACAGTTGGTTTACACGGACAGAGTTGATTCGCGCAGATATCGCGATTGGCGACGATCGCTCGTTCGCGAAGATCGCTTTCGCGAAAATTTGCACGCGGTGAATAAGACGCATATGACTGCACAAGCCTTAGGTTCGAGCACACTTCCGGGCAATCGATCCGGTTCGGTCCGAGTAACACGTGCGACGTACAGCGCCGGCGGCGTCACCTCGCACCCTCGTCTCTCTTTTTTTTAGAACCTTCACCGGATGCACGTATACCCCTGGGATCTTCATATATTTCAGCACCTATCGGTCGTCGAGAAGATATACCGAGAGAGATAGGAGATAGGCGCTTTATCGTCGCGTGCGCCGGTTCTTCGGCGTCGGGCGAATATCTTCACGCGGCATCGTAGCGGCGCACGCAAATGCGTCCCTATTTCTAATATGTGTCACGAGGACAACGGCTTCCACGCACATGTATGTTATCCTTTCGTCACCGTGACTTGCATCGCGGATATTGACGAAAGTGATAAGACCCGCGAAGCGCTTTCTTGATCATCGAACGAGCTCGCGGTTCGATCGTACCGGTATGTTCGCGCACGTTCACGTTATGTAGTTGACGTTTCTTTGATTAACGACACCTCTACTTGTAACAACACGTCGGCATCATTCCGAATCACGGAAACCTTCTCTACCACCGCGTGTACGCAGCGTTCTCTCCCTTTCTCGAGAATGAAATTTTTATTGACACGTGCGCGAACACGGGTCGATCCCACAGCGATCCTCCGCGTGCGCGTTTCTGTCCCGCTCTCACGCGCCCATTCCCGTCGACGTCGTCCACCGGGGAAGACGGGCTAAACGATGGTACCAGAGACAGTACCAAAATGGTACGATAAGTCTGCGACCGGCCGGTTCTCCCGTTGCGACTTCGACCTTTCCCCGCTTTGCACTCGTGCTCCTACTCGTTGGAAATGCCGTCCTTCCTGTCGCCTTCGTCACCGATATTATTTTCGTTTTTATTGTTGTCCACCTCCTTCTCGTCGCGAATACGTAAAAAATCTTCCCCTGCGACGTCGACGCACGTACCGTGCTTACGGGAATGTGCGTGAGGTCAGGGTGGCATGATTACGACTATCAGTCTCGCAGTGCGCCGCCGCCGTCGTTGGTCGCATCGCCACCTCCGTCGCCTTCATCGCCGTCGCCGCCGCCGCTGTTGTTGGTCACGTCGTCGCGATGACGGTAGCGTCGCGACGCCTGGCGTCGTCGTGCCGACGGTGAAACTTGTGTACGGACCGCATCGCTACGCCCTGGTGCGGCGGTCGGACGAGCGCGATCGACTAGTTTTCCGTTACAGTCAACCGATAATCTGTTCTCTTGTGATTGCATTGATTTTTTGTATCTATTCTATAATAAATAAATATAATGAAAAATATGTATAAAAAATATGTATGAGTAATATTTTTCTAAGTATGCTGATTATCATATATTTTTCGCTTTATATCATTCAAAATCTATGATTAAATTTGACATAATAATTGTTACTTTATATTTATACTATATATTTATACTACGAGATATTTAACAAATTTTATTTAAAAAGAAACGTATGCTAACTTTATTTTAAATTATTTTGTAACATATAAAATGATATGATAAAAATTTCTTTTATCGAATTTGGGTAAAAAAATCATTTTTTTCATCAAATTTTTAGAAATGTTTTGATCAACTGTCATTTATTGATAACTTGCTTTTAACTTGATGGCAATACATTTCGTTGAATTTTTCATTATATCAGCAGCTGGTCAAAGCACAATCTTCATGTATCTCCTTTTATTTATGAATCAGTCATCACTAAAAGTATCACATAATCAGCTAAAATATTATTTTATTATCAAATTATGATTTTACATATAAAAATCAAGAGAAAAAAATTAAATAATTTTTAAATTAACAATAAGAGAATTAGTGTTGAAATTTTATGTAGATACTTATACGTAATAATAGAACAATTTGTAAAATTTTTGTTATATTTTTTATATTTTGAAAATAGGTATTAAATAAATTCATTGTAAATTAAAAATCTTTACAACTTTAAATTGCTTCAGTGAATCGACTTCAAGTTTTATCAAAAGTCTCTAAACAAGTCTCTACGTGGGTCGTTTAATAAGTTTGGTAATTTTCCATGAAATGGCGCTACAACCCATTTGATAACGCGACATCTTGAAAGATCCACTCTTCGAACCCCTTCAGGCCAAATTTCAGCCAGAAAGGACGCATAGTTCACGTTTGGTAGTCATTTGAAGTGAGATTGGCGCGCAAAAAAGTGCTCTTCCATCAAGACAACGCGCCGTCCCACAAGTCGACCATTGCAATGACAAAACTACGAATTACGGACTATGAGTTGATTCCTCATCCACCCTATTCTCCTGATTTGGCCCCGTGTGACTTCTTTCTGTTCCCAAACTTAAAAACTTGGCTCGGTGGGAAGAAATTCTCGTCAAATGAAGCAGTCATTGTCGCCGTCAATGAGTATTTTACAGACTTTGAGACAGTCTTCAAATGACTACCAAATGTGAACTATGCGTCCTTTCTGGCTGAAATTTGGCCTGAAGGGGTTCGAAGAGTGGATCTTTCGAGATGTCGCGTCATCAAATGAATTGTAGCGCCATTTCATGGAAATTTACCAAACTTATCAAACGATCCACGTATATATGTAAGATATTGGTTTCTAATATTTAAAAAATAGATATTAGATATCCTTAAAATTACTGTAATATGGAAAATAAAAAATAAGAATTTTATTCAAGAATATCTTATCATTTTTTACACATTATTCACACAAATTTATATATTTATTCCATAATTATTTATATTTAAAAACTACATAATAATAATTTTATTTACAAAATTACTGATAACAATTTAATCAATTTTAAAAATTAAATATTTTTTTTTTTTAGGTAAATAAAAAGAAACGGAGTAAAAAAATTATTAAATGTCAAAACTTTTGAAGAAAAGAATAGAAAGATAACTTCAGTTTAATATTTAACTATATTTCTTTCTTAATTTAAACGATGTTGTAAAATTTGTTATCTCTAGAAAAAAGATAAAAGTTTCAGATCAACGAAGATGAAAATATAAATTATACATTTACATTTGACTTTAAACAATTTCTCACATTATTGATATCTATTCTTTTACATAAGTAAGAAACTTAATCAAATAATTATTAAAATGTAATATAGAATGTGTAAAAAATATATATAATGATTACGCAAAAAAAGAAAAATACACTGTGTATCGCGTATATGTAAATCGCGCACGTACGTAATAAGTATAAAAGATATTATATAAATATTTTTGTTCAATTTAAATGTTTTATTGTTTTAATGATAAACATTTTGCGTATATAGATATACGTGGATAATGTTTTCTTTTTTCTTTAAATATTATGCTTGATTAGAAAATTCTAGCATTATAAATGTAGCATTATAAATGTAAATTATAAATTATATTAATGTACATTATATTATGTACATTATATTAAATATATTATAAATATATTATGAAACATATAAAAAAGTATATAATATAGAATATACAAGAATATATGAATATATATATATATTTCCGATATTATGTATATATAATTAATTTTTGATAAATCGACGAGTTTCTCTTAGACGAAGGTCGGTTAAGGTCAATACAAACATCAATATAACTGATAAACGCAGCGCATGACATCATGATGATTGTAATCGTGTATTTACATTTACAAATAAACATCGGAAGATACTGGCTGATACAACTCCTCCTATTATTAATATTTCAATATTATCTCCAAGAAAGGATACGGCTTTTAATCACTTCTGCAATGATTTGTTGAAAGTATAACGCGTGTTAAATAAATTAGTACTTATCACCATTGTGGGGAATAAAAATAAAGCAAATAAAATCATGAATCGACACTTTCACGTGATGCGGAGTTTTGTAAGAGTGCCGCGATATCGCATTGTGCTGACGCCTCTCTCTCTCTCTCTCTCTCTCTCTCTCTTTCTCTCTGAGAATACTTACGAATAGTACGAGCAATTATAAATAGTGTTGTCACATCGTTTTAAACTCCTGTTGGAAATTATATATTTAGCCGAAAAGAGAATCAGAACAGAGAGAACATTTTACGAGTCCGGAAGATTCACGACTCCAATATTCCGTGGCAGGCTTACCAATAATAGTCAATTCTTCAACTAAGAAGAAGAAGGAACTTTTCGAGCTTGGCTGATTTATATGCAGATTACAATCAATATCTAAGCAACACGTTCGATTACCACAGGAGTACGTTATCAAGAAAATATCTTGGAGTGTGCACGCATTAGGTTTCAACCGGTAATAGAATTACTCTCCTTTCTCGGAGGAATTGATTTCTGTCTCAGTATTACATGCGATGTCCCTTGACAGACATCAGCAGAAACGTTCATTGTTGTAGGTAGATTTAACATGTGACAAATCTATTTTCCGAATATATCGTTACTGAGATTGTTTAAATGATTGCTGTAAACTGTCGCGCGATTTGTGTGCGACTTGTACGTAGATTACCCGTTTATTTCCACAATCAATACAATCGATATTCCCAGTGTTTCCGCGCTCATATTTTTCAGCTGACATTTTGCAAAATGATGTACTCTCAACGGTGCAGTTGTTCACAATTTTTCACTACTGCAAATATTGCTTTAGCATAACGCCGTCGCCCTCTGCCGATTGAAACTCAATCAATAATCATTTATTTTTGAATGTATATAAATATGAACAGAAACAGATGCATAGAGTTTTAGAGAAAAAAAACAAAGAAAAATACGAAATAAAAAATTAATGTTTTACTTAAACATTATCTTGTTATTTTATTTACAATGTAATATTATATCTGATGTTTGAACGAAATATTTATTTTTAATAAATTTTTATTAATTTTTTTCTATTTATTTAATTCTCAGTCAATTAAAAAAATGTTTATTGTAAATTTAGATATATAATTCACTACACACAGACAACTTGTATAAATGTATTATAATAAAAATATATTCGTGCGTGCACATTCACACACTTGTAAAGTTAAAAAACATGTATGAATATTGTAAATACTGTAAATAATATTTACAATATATCACAATTAAATTCTGTTTAAATAATTTATTTATTTAAGTAAAATCTATTTGTATTGCAGAACGAGCGCTTCCAGGAGCCGTAATAGAATGGATCTGACTCTCCGCTCTTTCAAATTAAGAGACGTGAAACCATCAAAGGAGAACTTCTTGCAAGTCGAGCGTGATAGTGTCACAGAGAGAAACGATACTATCGGAGAGCGAAAATGCAGACTGAAGGAAAAGTCGCGCGATGAATTCCGGATAATTAATTTGGCCGAGGTTGCCTGGCACGACACTCCTGACAACTGCTGGCTCGTGATCTACGATTACGTATACGATTGCACGGAATTTTTGAACAGTCACCCAGGCGGCCAGGATATTCTCCTAGAACATGCAGGACGAGATGCCACCTTAGCGTTCATTTCAACTGGTCACTCTGCCATCGCTAACGCAACTTTAGAAAGGTACAAAATTGGTGAGCTTCCGTCGAAAGAGAGACTTTTCCGCACTCCCAACGGCCTAAAGATCTCGGGATTCTAATCTGTTCAGATCATCGAAGGTTATCATCATCATTGTGACGCACTCGGGAAAAGATCAAATTTTATATGAAAAATAGATTGACATATCAAACACTTTTATTTAACTTTTTTGAAAAGTATGATTTCTATATAGCTTCTATATAGATTCTACGGAAGTTAGTTATATTTGAAATATTGCCGTTGCTTCTATAAACATTTTCTTTTTCCCGAATTAGTCTTTTTTTTTCCAAGTCTTCTCATTTGATTTTATTTTAATTGATTAATACTCTATATTTTATTATATTTCATCAGCAGTGTTGTGATTGAAAAAAAATCAATTAAATAACTTATTGTAATGTGCCGCCTATTTTTACATAATAATTCACAATTTCACTTTTTAGCTTTCTAAAACTGATTTTATCGTATTATCAATAGCAAGAGATATTTTTAAATAATCAAACTTAGATTGAACCTATGTAATACATAAATTATTATATCTAGAATTTTAAACAGAAAAGAGGAAATGGTTACATATCGATTTTTATTTGTTTGTAACAAATCATAACGATTTTTTTGTCAGTATTTAAATTCGATACAATCATTACTACAATGATGCAAGCTACGTTATACATTAACAATGTATTACAACTTGACGATAAATTAGGTTTACTATTTCTCTATTTTTATTTATTACATCTACATAGTGATCAAATAATTTCAAATTTCTTTCTCTTGTTTCACGTGCGTGTGCTAAAGTACTTCTTAAAATATAAAAACGATAAAATCATTGGATCATATAATGAAAATATATAGCTAATCTTAAGCGATGTGTTATCCGTTTATCACTAAAAAATAAAAAATATAAAATCGGCTAAAAAATAGTTTGCATGTAGTTTTATTCTTGAATTACGAAATGTACTAATTAAAAGAATAAGAATAAGAATACGCAACGATAATTTTTATTCAGTTAAAGTAGACCACGAACATAATTAGTTACATTTTCGCAATTAATCTTCGTGAATAATTACTTGCAATAAGATTTTACAACTTCAAAGTATTATCGCAAATTAATGAGACGATTTTAATTTCGTAACATGACTGATTACATATATATATACAATAGAATTTCCCTAACTTCAGTACTCTCTGTAAATTTTTTTATGCCTCCTCCATATATGTACATGATGTTGTGTAATAAAAATTTTCAATGTTAAAATAAAATTATGTTGCGTTGGCGTCTGTGTACAAAACGTTCTCACTCTATATGTAATATATGTTATTTTTTTTTAATGCCTTCGCCCCTAATGTAATAAGAATGAAGAAAACTTCACTAATTTATCACGGCTCCGCATAGTAGAGATTATGGAAGTTCCACTGTATATACCAGACAAGATATTTGAAAGATTTTTTGGTATCTAGACAAATGTTACATTTTTCATGAAAAGTTACTTTATTATTACTGAAGATAATAAATATTTAAAATTCTCTCTCTCTCTCTCTCTCTCTCTCTCTCTCTCTCTCTCTCTCTGTCGTGTATTTCGAAAGAATTATTTCGAAGCTATATTTCTCAAAAAAGCTTTTTATATCTTCATTCGATAAAATAAATGAAATAGAGGATCGATGAAATAATAATCAATGCTCAGAGAATAAAAGAATACTTTACACTGGATACATTTTATATATTTCTTAATTCTCTAACACACATTTATAATATACATAACATACAGTATGAGGTAATATAGCGATATAGCTCATTCGTAATATAATATGTTGTCGATAGACCGATATAATAAACTCTTCATTTCCGTTAGTCGGAAGGCAATACCGTTCGTTTATTAAATTAGCAATGTACTCAGTTTATACGTTAACTCTATTATTTAGTATTTATCTAAAATTACACACATAACAATACTCTTTACGATATTTACACTTAACCACAAAATGTACATATAAAATATATAATATGTTTTGTATGTATATGCGTATATGTGTATACATATTTATGTGTGCACATGCATGCGTTTAAGATAAAATAAAGAAAAGAGAAAAGAGATAAGTCTTATTAATATGATTAGTATCATTCTCTCCCATGGCGAGCCGTCACTCCTTAGTTTTGCATGTCTTAACATCTCGCTGATAGAAAAACGTTACAAAACCGATGGAAAAATTTCGATATAACGAGAATCTTCCTGTATATTAAATAGATTTTATGTTACATGCGGTGAGTTGCGATACGAAATATGCAATAGTCTATGCACATCCCTCTCTCTAACTTTATACTATATAATTGAATAACTAATTTTGTTCTCCGTTCGATTTTTAACATTAAGATAGGTTGTTCATAATACGTAAGATTCTCTCATAATACATTTAATTTGAACTCAATAAGTGCATAAATTTCACATATGACTAAAACTATATACTTTTTCTATTTTATTACGCCAGTGATACTAATGTGATACTTGCGCACTTTGATGCACGCATCATCACGCTACGCTACGTTGATCAACACCAACTTTACATACTACTTTCTGTTTTGTATGTTGTTAGGACTGTGTCAAATAGCGAATGTCCATAGCATTCGCTCATTTATAAATTGTCTCTGCTAAATTCTAAATGACAATTTGAAAATGAATAACACATGCATAATATGCACAAAATAAAAATAGCTTCGCTAACAAGTTTTTTTTTTACGATTAATATCGTTATAATTATAAATCACAAAACATAAAAAATATAGCTAAAATCATTTCGACATATCAGAGATTCTAATAAAAATGTTCGAAACAGTAATTATTTATCGCGAAGAAACAATATTTGTGTAGAAAAAATTAAATTCGACATTTAAATTAAATTTCTAACTTTTCATTTTATAACATTGAATATCATAATTATTAAATTTTGTTTGGAGCAAAGTTTGTCCTCAATTCAATAAAAATAAAATTCTGTTATTAATTTTCGCTTTTAGGATTTCATTCCGCAACGCTTTCTATTTTATAATGTGAAATAAACTGAATAAATTAGATTTAATATAAATTATAATTCTAAAAAATAAGAGTGTATTAAGTCAACATACGACTCAATATTTAATTTCCATTCTTTAAAATAATATTCAGCGCGAAAGAGAGTTTCTTCGGGTTTTTTTTTTCTTTTGAAAAACATACAGACTAGAATCGTCGTCCAACAGAAAAATTCCACAGAGTTTGAAAAATTAAACCTGTGTGGCTTCAATATATGATATTGTTTATTTGACCGTTATTTGTATCTGCAGAAAATTCTATCGTTTGTCCGAAAAGCTAGAAATTTCTCTTCGCTGATCCGGAAAAATGAGAACGCGTTCATTATTCGTCGTTATTCTTTGTGTGACCAAACGAAGCGGACTGCAAAATCATATATCCGATCTATTGTATCTCAATTGTCTCTGATCGGTTTAGGTCATCAAGTTTCCCTTTTTCCTTTATAGACACACTAAAATAGCGGAACTAGCTCTATGACATATTGTTGAAAATTTCGATTTCCTGTACTACGAATATAAAGCTTGCTTTTTCATGCGTGTTTCATGCGTGTAACAGCTTCGTTGCTTACTGTATTTTTTTCAAAAGAAAAATTGGAAAATTTAAAAATAAAAATTTATTTTTTTAATTTAAATTTATTCGGCCTCAAATACTATCATCATCCGGAGCATGGAAATTGGATATCAAGTTAAGAATAAAAATTTATCATTTAACGAGTTTTTTATGAAAAAAAGAATTTGTTTTAAAAAATACATATTTTTTCATTTGAAATAATTTTCATTAAAACTAAAATTTAGCTAACTTATCACACTTTTCTTATAATTCATATAATAGAAAATGAAATAGCTTAATTCCATAGTAAATTCTTATTATTTTATTTTAAAAGTTATTTTAAATATCTATGTTTTTTTACGAACATATATATATATTTCTTTGCTTAGTTGTCTATCAAAATTAAATAAAAACAGATAGTTTGATCAGTAATAATTGATTATAAATGGTGAACATATCTAGATACTTAGCATACAGTAATATCTTTAGAAGAAGACCATGCCCACAAAATGGCATATATGTATAAATGTAAAATATATGTGTGTGTATTTAAAATGTGTTTGATGTGAATATAAGTATGTGTTTCCACTATATTTTAGTTGATTCTATTGTGTGGACACAATCAAAAAGGAAATTAGGCAATGGGTAAAATCCTTCTTCTAAAGACACCGGTGTACAGAAGTACGTAAAATTGTAATACTAATTGCATTCGAGAAATAATTAATAGAGAATAGATACTTTCAAGCAGATACCGTTTAGAAATATCATTTGATACTTACATATTCACATATACAATTGATACTTTACTATCAGAAATCGAAACTAATTATGAGGTTTTATTCATTAAATTCATAAAAGCACCGAGACGCGACATTGCAACAACATTATATCTCGTTGCATACATGAATAGATTATAATACGTCATCAATCCAGGATCAAGTAATTTCGCAAACGCTTTCTTTGACACAGTTCAGCTACCAAGGAAAACATTCGCGAATTAACTCAACTGTGAATTGATGACAGTATCAATCTTCCTGCAATTTCCTGTTAAAGTGAAGTTGTTCATTCTTTTACATCAGGCTGCAGAGAGCAAATCCTGGTCCAGAATCGAATGCCGACTGTAATACCGTGGTTTCCATGCAAAATGCAGCATCCGTATACATTGCCGCAATTCGTTGTTGTTGCGCTCGACTTTCGCTCTGTGATCTGCAAGCATATTAAAATTTTTCTAATTGGGAAATGTTTCTAGTAGTAACTAAAATTATTTGAAATAAAAAAATAGATAGAATAAACAGATTGAAAAAATTATTCTATTCTTCGAATTATATATTATAATTTTGATTAAATTAATGCTTACACTCTCGAACATTTTTATTCGAGGAAAGTGTGTAACATGTTTCAGAAAACTCTTGAAATTATTCTTGTCATTTTCCTCTTAATTTGCTCGCGATTATAGCAGAGAAAAAAATGCAAAAAAAAGAAGGAATCTCGGCAGCTCAGCATTTACATAATTGCTGTCTGTGCCATTTTTCTAAACCACTTTAAACCTGCTACTGGTTCTCAGCGCCTCAAAATGTCTCGAGGTAGCTAAGTACCTCCTTAGCCAAGCTAACTCCCGACGGTGTCGTAGTCGCATATGCCCATCCCGGAAACTATGTGAATTATTCCGCGAGCGATACCGGCTCCGAGATACGAGACGTGACAGCCGAGGTCGGCTCTTACAGCCTCTCGACTACTCACCTGAGAGGCATTGCCCGCGCACGTCTCTGCACTCTGACCTGTACCCTCGGGACTGATTGTGAGTAGCCATCGTCTCTAGATTGTTGTCGTTGCTGTTGATGTTGATACTGTAAACCACGATCGCTTAGCGCCAGCTGCGTCAAATACTCGCGAAGCTCAGGTTGGCTGGCCAAGAGCTCACGTCGTGAGATACTCGAAGCTTGATTAGACGTCGTCGTCGAGTCGGACCACGGTGGCGGAGGAGTATGTGAGCGTGATGTCATCGCGTTCTTGTGATAAAGATACTCCTCGTACGTCGGTGGCAGACCGTTCTACAGAAAACGAAAATGTAGTTCCTCATAGTTAATAAAGAAAAGATATAAAACAAAATATGCAGAAGTTGCACATATACATGCAAAAAAATGGAAAAGGCACTAGCGTCTGAATTTAAAAGCTTGCTATTCTAGACATTAACAGTTGAAATAAATAATATTTTAATGAATTGGGATTATTTTTTTTGTTAGATTATTTTTTGTTAAATTATTTACTTGATATTTTGCATACAACAAATTTTATTTTTACAATTTTTGCTAGTGCTCTTTATAATAATTCTTTTAAAATCTTACATTTTGAACCATAGTACGCAATAATATACAGTTTCAAGCGAGAAATGTGTTACACGAAAAATGCATGTGTTACAAAAAATTAAAAAAATTTTTTAATGCGCGAGAGTATTTGCTTTATGTGAGAGGATATTTGCGATGGTTTCATATAAAAACCTGCTTTTAAGATAAGTAATTAGGACAAGGTCCGATATACAGAATTTTTATTTTACAAATAGAAAATACTGTTTTTCATGCCTGTCTCTTTGTTTCTAATAAGTTGTTTTATGTTTAAAAGCACATCGTCATTAATGATCAATTACTGTAATCAAAAGCAATAAACAAAATTGAGATATACTAATGAGGCATAACATTTTCATCCTCCTGCATTTCGTTTTATTTAACAACGATCGTCATGAGAATAGTCCTTGAATAATTAAAAAAATTAATTAACAATAACTTCAGAAATCTACTGCTCGCGAAACCACATTAGGATCACGTTACTCTCCGCAACTCTGATTCTCAGGTTATAGTTACTTATTATTATATTTGCATAGTGGTTTCGATACCTGATATTTTGTATTGTGTTTCAGATGCGAAACAACAATTTGTTATTTCGCGAAATAAAACTGTCTATTTTAATTCAAGGCGATCTATTTTAATTCAAGAAAAATAATGAACTTTGAATCTGTCATCTGATTCTTCAATTTTTATATAATAATTTTGATATAATAATAGCTCTTTGATAATCACAAGAATAATCGTGTTTTTAAACAGCATAATTAATGTTATTAATTTTAATAAAAAGTAAACTTTTGTAATTCACATAAATTCATCAATGGAAGCTCGAGTAACAAAATTAACCGCGTAAATCAGTTCCACATTTTATATCACGCTGAAAATTATAATAAAACCGCAAACTGTTTTTTAATATTCTTCTTAAACCGACCACAGTTTGCATCCATGGTATAAAACGCAGTGAAAAAACTTTTCTCGTTTCTCATCAGTCGACTTGCCTTGCACATTATATCGTAAAAGCGAGAGCTTGCGAGAGCTTGCAAGCATACATCCTCTCCTTTTGTGTTTCCCGCAAAAGGTGTCGACTCTTGTTTAATGTAATTGTAGCATAATGCTCTTGTATTTAATGCTAATATTATGCTATTAATATTAAATTTTACGCAGAAATGACTTTTGTAATTTTGACATATATTTTATTAAACATTTTTATAGTTTAATATTATGCTACATTAAAAATTATCTTCTCTCCAAAAGACTAAAAATAATATCGACTTTATATATATATATATATA